CACCATCGTTGGCCAAGTGGACGATGGGTGCCTTGGCAGCTCCTTCATCAGGCGAGATGACAGCTAGCTTGTCCCATTCATCTTTTTCTCCTCCTTTGTATCTCCAAATAACCAAGTGGATTGATTTTATCACTGAGGCGGCCATCAGTCCATAGTGACAAATCCAACGTCCATCTCAACTAAGAACATCAATGAACTCCTTGATGTTGGCCGCTGGCTTTCCACCTTCACTTTCATTTGTCCAAGTATTGTCAACAGCCCACCCACTTTGCCATGAAGTATTGGTGTTGGTCAAATAGAAGATCGCCTGTGCTTTAAGGGCCTTTACAAGACCGGGGATCTTCTTCATGGTGTCCTCGCTCGGCGTTTGGCCTTTCAAATTGAGACGAACAAGCTGGTAAGCAATAGCTCTCCAGCCACAGTCTCCATTGCCCCCGAGTTCCAAGGTTCTGGTGTCTGTACCCTCGGGTCCATAGAGGCCTCCTTTGAGCTTCACTTCGGTGACGTAGTATAGCTCCTTTTGCACTTTTATTTCTCTCATTTTTCCCAAGAGCGTCTGAGCGAAGGGTTCTTCTAATAGTGGGGGTCTGTCAAACATTTTCACATCTTCTCATCTTCACATCTTCACATCTTATCATCTTCACATCTGCTCATCTTCTCATCTTCACATCTTCTCATCTTCTCATCTTCACATCTTCACATCCTCACATCTTCACATCTTCACATCTTCACATTCTCTCTTGCCCTCTTGCTCTCTTGCCCTCTTGCTCTCTTGCCCTCTTGCTCTCTCCTTCTTTTCTATATTTCTCTCTTGAAGGCGCGGGGCAGTGCGAACGAGACGGCACGAAACGCAACCCTTTCGCACGAAACGAGGTTCGATCACCAAAAACTAAAGTAAAATTGCGATTTCACGGGTCCGGTCGCAACCCTTTCGCACAAAACGAGGTTCGATCACCAAAAACTGAGGTAAAATTGCGATTTCACGGGTCCGGTCGCAACCCTTTCGCACGAAATGAAGTTCGATCGCCAAAAACTGAGGTAAAATTGCGATTTGACGGTTCCGGTCGCAACGCTTTCGCGCGAAATGAGGTTCGATCGCCAAAAACTAAAGTAAAATTGTGATTTTGATTTGCACTTGTCCGAGCGCAATCCTTTCCCACGAAATGAAGTTCGATCGCCAAAAACTGAGGTAAAATTGTGATTTTGATTTGCACTTGTCCGAGCGCAACCCTTTCGCACGAAATGAGGTTCAATCGCCAAAAACTGGAGTAAAATTGCGATTTCACGCGTCCGGCCGCAACCCTTTCGCACGAAATGAGGTTCGATCGCCAAAAACTGCAGGGAAATTGCGATTTGCAAAGGGTCCGGCGAACCCTTTCGCACGAAATGAGGTTCGATTTCCAAAATCTGAGGTAAAATTGCGATTTCACGCGTCCGGTCGCAACCGCGCGAAATGAGGTTCGATCGCCAAAAACTGAGGTAAAATTGCGATTTTGACGCGTCCGGTGCAACCCTTTCGCTTCTGTGTGTCAAAGTGTCTGTGTGTAAAAGCTTGTGTGTTTGAAAGCTTCTGTGTGTAAAAGCGTCTGCGTGTAAAAGCGTCTGTGTGTAAAAGCTTCTGTGTGTAAAAGGTTCTGTGTGTAAAAGTCTCTGTGTGCGAAAGTGTTTGTATGTAAAAGCGTCTGTGTGTAAAAGTGACTGTGTGTAAAAGCTTCTGTGTGTGAAAGCTTCTGTGTGTAAAAAGCATCTGTGTGTAAAAGCGTCTGTGTGTAAAAGTCTCTGTGTGTAAAAGCGTCTGCGTGTAAAAGCGTCTGTGTGTAAAAGTGTCTGTGTGTAAAAGCGTATGTGTGTAAAAGCGTCTGTGTGTGAAAGCTTCTGTGTGTGAAAGCTTCTGTGTGTGAAAGCTTCTGTGTGTAAAAGTCTCTGTGTGTGAAAGTGTGTGTATGTGTAGAAGCGTCTGTGTGTCAAAGCGTCTGTGTGTAAAAGCGTCTGTGTGTAGAAGCGTCTGTGTGTAAAGCGTCTGTGTGTAAAAGCCTCTGTGTGTAAAAGGTTCTGTGTGTCAAAGCTTCTAAAAGCTTCGGTGTCAAATCTTCTGTGTGTAAAAGCGTCTGTGTGTAAAAGCTTATGTGTGTAAAAGCTTCTTTGTGTAAAAGCGTTTGTGTGTAAAAGCGTCTGTGTGTAAAAGTCAGTGTGTAAAAGCTTCTGTGTGTAAAAGTCTCTGTGTGTAAAAGCTTCTGTGTGTAAAAGCTTCTGTGTGCAAAAGCGTCTGTGTGTAAAAGGTTCTGTGTGTGAAAAACTATACGAAGGATACCATGCAAACTATTGTCTTTTACTTGTAAAATATTGTCTTGATACTACTCTTCTCGTCTGCCTATAATAGATCTTTAATATATGGTCTTGTAATATAGTGTCTCAATACTAACAACAGAACACCCTGCTCCTCTACGCTCTCGGGCCATCCGTCGTCTAGTTCTTAGGATTTCCTTCGTGCTCTTCCATTGGAGTGTCAGGGATTGTGGTTGTGTATGGCCAATCTCAGAACTGAAATCGGAGCTACATCAACGTGGTCCAGTGATGAACGTTTTGGTCTCTTCACTCAAGGGACAAGCGTGAGCCTTTTCAACTTTCCATCAATCTCAGTCTCATTTGCATACGTGTCCATTTTGTCTTGACACCTTCCATGAATTCTCCATGGTCCAGTCCGAGATTTTGGTGGAGTTGGTCGACTGGCCAAAGTCCATCCCATCTCTCTAAGCCAAGTTTCAAGAGCTCCAGGTCCAGAAACTGGTGGTGTCCCCCACAATGCAAAGGTTCGATCCTGAATGAAATCATCGGCAACTTGATATCCCAAATTGTTACCACCGCCTCTTCACCATGCCATGGGAGATCCCTTGGCTTGTGCTGAAGTTCTGATGAAATTGTCTATGCTGGCTTCATCTTTTTCACGTGTAACCCAAAGAATAGAAGGCTTTGTAGTGATGTCCTGGGCGAGACGTTGCGCAAAGACAGCGTTTGTCCCAGATTTTGCCAAAGCCTTCTTGAAGACATTCTTCTCCAAATAGATGTAGAGAGTCAAGACATGCTCAGAAGTCTCCCATTTTGTCGTCTTGGCCTCTTTCCAACCTTCCTTACCGCCAAGGAGAAGTGCTGCAAACTCTGGTTTTCGTTTCAAAATCTTCACATTCTCTTCACTGCAAAATTCCCCGGGGATTGTGAGGCGAAAGAGTCACCAGGTCATCCCTGTTTGGTGTTTTCATCTTGCACTCCTTGACCTTCTCTTCATTCAACTCAGGGAGTTTTCTTTTGGGGTTTCCAGCAATAGCCGGAATCATAGCCAAGCTGCCGAGATAGGGCAAGAGCAGCCGCTGCCAATGCTCAGGGACATTGTCATTCCCTTGCTTCGCAATGAGAAGAACTGATTTCGAACATTCACAGCTTTTGCCACTGCTTGAAACTCGCAGATCTGCTGGACATTCTTGACGATGCAGATCTCTCCTCTAGGGGCATCTCCTTCTTCCAATGCACGCTGGAGGTGCTGCCATGAAATGATTGTTGACTTTGGCCATCTCCTTGTCAAATCACAAAGCGTGGCAACTCATCAAGTTCTTTGCCTTTCTTTCCTTTACCTTTTCCTTTTGTCTGCTTCTTTTGATTAAAGGCTTGCACATCTCCTTCTGCTTCCTCCTGATTCTCATTGATGCAACCATTGATCTCCCGGATGACGTTCATCAGTTCGATGTTCTGATCCTCCTCAAGTTTCAGATTGTTGATCAATACCACCACCTTTTCTTCTTAGTGGCATTTGAAGCACCAGCACCTCCTCTCAGATCTTCATCATCAGCTCCTCCTCTAAGGTGCTGCTCTCCGCAAAGAAGCCCCTCAGAAGCATCAGCCCAGCTGTTGATGGGTTCAAACACAAAAATGCAAAATGTACCAATGATTCCTTCAACTTCCGCTTCTTCAAAGGCGTCATGACCATCAGCAATGACGGTCTTGTCCTTAACTTCTTGCTCGTGTTCATCATCTTCTTCTTCATCACCAGGACGTAAGGGAACATTCATCTCCTCAAGAGTTGCCTCCTCCTCAATCTCTTCATGTTCTTTAACGTTCTCTATTTCACTGAGCGACCTCCTCAAAATAAACGAATTCGAATGGATCTCAACCTCAGTAAGGCCAGAATCTTCTTCCAAAATTGTCGTTTTATCCCAGCTAGAATCGATGAATCGATGGCAGGAAGAGGTGATTCAAAAGCTGGGAGATGTTTGTTGCAGTCATCATACTGAATGGGCCACCGTACAAAGCTTTGATTGTCCCATTTCGACTTCTCAGCTTCTTCGACCCATCCTTTGATGAAAGGGCAAAAGGGCAAGCAGCTATCAACCCCCTCAGTCTCAAGCTCTTCAAGGTGCCCAAAAAGACCCTATAGACGAACTTGCAATCTCGACAAGTGAGTTTCAAAGGATTGTGAGGTATCGGTTGCACCTCCTGACAGTCAAATCCTGTCTCAGCTGCAGGGTTCGATTCAGCATCTTCCTGGCACCAAGTTGGCTCTAAGAGGCTGGTGTCCTCTCCTGAGCCTTCAGAAGTGATGGCAAAGTTTGGGACCTGGTTCTTTTGCAAATTTTCTTGCTGCTGACGTTTGCGTCTCAATCTTTTGTTTTTGGTCTTTCTCTCAGTGGTTCCTCCTCTCAGCATTCGAAAAACATCTTTGTCTTCAAAAATGTCAGAGTTGATCTCGCAAGCATCACTCTTACTGACCAAAACCTTCTCAAGTTGTTCGCGCAAACGTAAATCACGGCGAAACAAGTACAGAGATCAGGAAACTCATCAGGCAAACTGCCCAAATTATCCAAATTGCTATCCAAATAATCTCATCACAGTCAAACTCAAAAGAGTGGCACGGCACCACTGACACTGACACCACTTGCCAATTCGAAGAACATTCAAAATATGTCAAAGAAAATCAAAGAAAAAACGTTCACTGGCTTCGGCCAAAGCGCTGTGGGAACCTCTCCCACCATCACTTCTCCCGTGCTTCCATCGATGGTGAGGATCTGTCCCTCAGTCACAGTCACAGAGCCCACAGAGAGCTTGGCAGCGGCATAGTCAACCGTGATGCTACCAGCACCAGCCACGCATGGTCGGCCCATTCCACGAGCAACCACTGCTGCATGACTGGTCATGCCACCTATCTAACTCTGTCCAAGGGCACCAAAGCAACAAAGCTTCAGAAAAGAAGATTCAGATTAGGTTGTGTTAAGCTTGTTCAATGGGAAAGGAGACTTAGCTACTAGATGATGCTAATAGTTGTTCCGCAAAGTTACTCTGTTGTCACATGTTCCTGCACTCGGGGAGAGGGAACGTCTCACGGAAGTCACTGTTGGACAAAATGCCTCGGGTGGTCAGAACTCCTTCTGCTGCGTGCAAACCGTGGATGTCATCTGGGCTGGTCTCGATACGAACCAGGATCACCTTCTCGCCATCTTTGCAGCGGCGCACTGCTTCATCTGCGGAGAAGACAACCTCATGGCAGAGTTGCAGGTGACAAATTCATACAACTTAGGCTACAAATCACAATGCCGTGTCTGAAACAGGCAAGAAACTCCAAAAGCCTTCAAAGAGTAGAAAACACAGAATCAGTAGATTGTTCGATCATGCGGCTCAGTCATGTTCAACTATAATCTCAATCATGGTCAACTGTCATCTCATAATTCATGTTCAACTATCATCTCATAAATCATGCTCAATGAACTGTAATATTACAATTAATTTTCAAAATACACACATCAACAAGGAGTTATCATGAGTTCAGCAAAGGAACCTTGCCACCCGCCGCACCGGGAGAGGCAGGAAGGCCCTTGGCAATGATCTCCTTCTTGGCCTTGGGGTCCAGAGTAGGGTGCAAGAGCTGGTCAATCAAATCCGGCTTCAAACTCAGAAGAGCTTGCGACTTGGTGATCAAGCCTTCCTTGGCCATGTCAACAGCAATCTGCAGCGCAGCAGGAGCTGTTCGCTTGCCATTGCGGGTCTGCAACATGTAGAGTTTGCCTTGCTGGATGGTGAACTCGATATCTTGCATGTCCTTGTAGTGAGTCTCGAGCTGGCTGCGCACTGAGAGCAACTCGCGGAAGATGTTTGGCATCACTTCTTCCAAGGATGGTAAGTCGGAGCCGTGGGACTGGCGAGCCCTGATGGTAAGCTCTTGCGGAGTGCGGATGCCTGCGACGACATCTTCACCCTGCGCATTGACCAAAAATTCACCGTAGAACTCATTCTTTCCGGTGGATGGATCGCGAGTGAAGGCAACACCAGTCGCACAGTCGTTGCCCATATTTCCGAAGACCATGGCTTGGACGTTCACGGCTGTGCCCCACCACTCCGGGATGTCGTGCAATGCCCTCGCCAAAGCAATTGCCAAACATGTTTTTAAATTTGTTTGAAGTTCTCAAGTCTTTGTGATATGCAGAAATGCATCTTTTGTGTTCTTTTCTATTCTCTTGTGATATCATGTCATATCTACATATTCAGATTGGTGACTCAAAGCGTCCAAGTAAGATCTTGTATGGTCTCTGGAATTTTCCTTGCTTTCACTCTGACATACTCTGACAATGACTAGAGGCCTGTAGGTCTTTGCACGCTGATTCATCCAGGAATTGAAGACTGCACCAACGGCTCCCCAAAGCTGTGCTTTTGGATCCTCTGGGAACTCCTCGCCAAGCTCCAACTGGACGACGGCTTTGTAAGACTTGACCAGCTTTTCCAAGTCCTCTGGAAGCAACTCGCAGTCCTGCCGAGGCATCATTTTGCTCCGACTGAGCGACAATGAGACAAATTTGTCAAAGTTGGGGATTAGCATACAACATGGCGTACTCCCAAAACAACATTGTGACAACCCTTTTTATATAGATTCTCCTGCTTCACGCCACGCTTCTCTTTCGCACGCTCCAAATGCTTCTCAAAGTGGTTGATCTCAATGCCGAGGACAACGTCAGAATACATCTGCACAAAGCGTCTGTAGCTGTCAAAGGCAAAGCGACGGTCGCCTGACTTCTTTGCCAAAGCCTCCACCGTGATGTCGTTCAGTCCCAAGTTCAGAACTGTGTCCATCATTCCTGCGACAGTCCGACAGAGCAACAGGCATTCAGGTGAAAACGGAGAGGGGATGATTTTCAAGTCTACTTAGTAAGTCTACTTCCAGCGGTTGAAATCGCTAGTCAAACAAGTTTGTTGCTCTCAAGAACCTTCGTTTTTAATCCGTTTTCATCCTTTTTCTGCCCTCACTCTCCTGGCATGGATGCGCGTGCTCCAGAACGCACTGACACCAGAAGTGGGTTGATGGAGTCACCAAATTTGCGTCCAGTGCGGCTCTCGACCAAATTCAAGGCCTTCTCCACCTTCAAATCGCTCATCGGCCCAAGATGGCTGAAGTCATGTCAAAGTATTCAAATAGGATGTGAAGGGATGTAAACGGATGTAGAAGGATACAAAATACAAGAATGTGTGTACAGGAAAAGAACCTCATCATAGAAAAGCATAGAAAAAACTCATATTCTCAAATGATAATGACAACTCCGCGAATCTGAATATATCTGAGTCATTGCATTAGTGACTGCTAGTGATTGTGTGGCACGCGCCTGTTGTTCAAGTTCCTTGGGATACTGGCAATCATTCTGGTAGAAGTGAGTGCAGACCTCTGTAGTCAGAGTGAATCCCGGTGGCACGGGCAATCCGATGGAGGCCATTTCAGCGAGATTTGCACCCTTTCCTCCGAGGAGATTCTTCATCTCAGCTCGGCCATCTGCCTGGAAATCAACGGTTCAAAGCCAAAGAAAATAGAAAACATGTGTTTTACTTGGGGGGATGAACGAAAGCTAAAGGTCACATGAATGTGGAAGTAGGTGAGCTGAACTTGGAAACATGCAAGGAAGTGGAAAGCACGCGCATGTCTCCGGAGCCTTTTTTGCGGCAATGAAGTGAAACTGCGGCAGTGTGAAGTGAAACTGGAACAGCGGTGAAAATTGGGGCGGAGCACGTGCGCTAGAGTGCCACAGAGAGATAGAGAAACTAAAATACAGATATAGGCATATATAAAATACATATGTAAAGAGAGAGAGATATATATATATATAAATAAATTCAAATGTATATTTATATATATATGAAAAAGAAAATACAGGAAGAAAATCAGAACACGATATCGACACAAAGAGATAAACATGCATATACAGGCACAGGAGCTGCACAATGGAGAGGTTCATATGTAGAAGGCAGTTGCATGCTGTGTTTGGTTATTTCCGATGGCGGTATATAGAGCTGCAAACATACACAACATAAATGCAAGTGATCTAGGACTTTGCAGCCGGCACCGTCATTGAACGATCTGCCGCTGCAATCTGCGCAACCTGCGCAAGAACATAGGTTCCGAAGCTGCTGCCGCCTTGTGGCCACCAATATGCTTTGTAGGAGTCTAGCACTCCGCTCTAGCCGCGCCATAGCCAGGTCTAGCCACTGCACAAAGAACACGCTCAGCAGCATCCGACAACAAACTCCATGCCTCATCCACCAATCCATCCGCAAGCCTCTGAGGGAAAGAAATGGAATTCCAGATCTCTTCGAAGTGAGCCTCAACCTTGTCAAAATTTGCATCATGAAAAAATTACGAGCAGGAGCAGAATGTCCAGAAAGCAAGGTATAGTCAAAACCGTACACAACTAAGTCGTGATCAGCCAAACCCTTGCACTGCACACGTTCCACCGGAATGAAACTGCCGGAGCTCAGACCAAAATCTATACAAGAAGTACCATTTTTCCGAAAATCAATGAAACAATCACCCAGAGAAAAGGCAATACCCGAAGCCACATGAGGAGCAAGTTCACAAGCCTCAACTGTAGTGTTCCAATCGCCGGGTTCCAGCCAAGGACTAGACATCATGTTGAGGAAATGTAAGACCTGGTGGCACAAAATCTGTCGTGCATCTGGATTCCTCGCATGCCCATAGATGGAACCAATGCAAAGTTTCCGGATCCCATTGTCACATCGAACCTCGACCAAACCAAAACACGCCCTGTGTGGTTCTCCAATGCCTTCAGGACAGATTTCGCGCATCGGGATGCGCGAAAGGATAGCCACCCGTGTCTTGCCTTGTTTGTCCAACGGATTGCAAGCCCCCAAGGACACATGATAACCTTTCTTGGTCCAAAACGCACGGAAACGAACCCGACTGGCTTCAAATAACTCTTGCAAGGCCAAAATGTCCAAACAATGGGAAATGAGAAAAGCCAGAATAGCGTCAACCCGGGCGGCACCAACTGGGACATTGCGCGTTCCAAACCGCAGGGTCATGGGTCCTGAACAATCGCGTCTCCACCAAAGAACCGCGCGGCTGGGTTCCACACCTCACTCTTGAAGACCAGGCGAGCTTGCCTGGCCTTGGCCAAGTCACACTGTAATTTCTTTAAGCTAGAAGCTTTGATTCTCGCAACATCTTTGGGGGACCAACTGCGGCACTTGTTTTTGCGAAACTTGGTGATATTGCGGCCGAACTTTCCACACTTCTTGCACCTCCAAGCTCGAGCCAAGGAAATAGCAAGTCCGCCCACACCACGATAGCGAAGGAAAGGCCAGTGCTTGCTCACTGCCAAAGTGTCAGACGATACTCATCCACAGGGGCGTCGGAAGGAGTCAAGACGGTTGCAAAGAAGATGTAATGTTCAGCTTTCATTCGTAGAAAATGTGAACCAAGTTGAGGCCCTATCCAGAAGTGTAATTTTTGATGGGGCTCAAATCCTCAACTGTTGATCCGAGTCACAAAGAATTCTTTCGAGCCCATTGCCAAATTGTTAGAAGCCTGGCCAGCTTGGAATGTCTGAACCAAGGAAGATGGGTACGCGATAAAGTTTGGGCTCCATCCAAAATTAAGATTTTTGATGGGGCTCAAGTCTACACAGTGTTGACCTGAGTCAGAAAGAACTCTATCGAGCTCAATGCTCCGGCGAGGCATATTGCGCAAGAGTTCCATCCGAACAACACGTAATCTTCCGCTTGGAGTCGCAAAACATTTGAGCTAAAAAATGCTAGTGCTCTATAAAGCTTGGGCCCTATACAAAATTATAATTTGTGATGGGGTTAAAAGCCTCAACTGTGGATCTGAGTCGCAAAGAATTCTATCGAGTCCACGGCCAAACTCATCGAAGCTCCGGCGAGCTTGTAATGTCATGCTCTGATGAAGCATAGAGCGCAAGAGTTCTATCCGAACAACATGTAATCTTCGGCTTTGAGTCGTAAAACTTCTGAACCAAAGAAGGCTCTATAAAGTTCGGGCCCCATCCAAAATGATTTGCTAGTGCTCTATAAATATAAAGACTCTATAATGGGGCTCAAATCTGCATAGTGTTGCTTTGAATCACAAGGAACTCTATCGAGCCCACTGCCAAATTGGTAGAAGCTCTGGCTAGCTTGGAATGTCATGCGGGTGAAAAATATTGTGCAAGAGTTCCATCCGAACACCTTGCAATCTTCCGCTTGGAGTTGCAAAACATTGGAGCCAAAAAATGTTAGTACTCTATAAGGCTCAAATCCTCCGCTGTTGATCTGAGTCACAAAGAATTCTATCGAGCCCACGGCCAAATTGTTCGAAGCCCCGGCGAGCTTGCAATGTCATGCGATGGTGAATCGTAGGGCGCTAGAATTCCAGCCGAACAACATGCAATCTTCCGTCGTAAAACATCTGAACCAGAGAAGAAGGTGACTCTATAAAGTTTGGGCCCCATCGGAAACTATAATTTTTCATGGGGGTCAAATCCTCCGCTGTTGATCTGAGTCACAAAGAATTCTATCGAGCCCTCTGCCAAATTGTTTGAAGCTCCGGTTAGCTTGCAATGTCATGCGCTAGTGCAGCATACTGCCCAAGGGTTCCATCCGAACAACATGTAATCTTCCGTTGTGAGTCGTAAAACATCTGAACCAAAGAAGATGGTTACTCTATTAAGATTGGGCCCCATAGGAAACTACAATTTTTGATGGGCTCAAATTTACAAACTGTAACAAATCCTGAGCTAGAAGAGTTACAGAGGGACGGCCCTGGCAGGATTTGAGCCCGTGACCATCTACTTCCGAGACTGCTTCAAAATGCCCCGGGATTTGGGGTGGGGAGAGGGGGTTCGAGTGAATAATCATTGTGTTGGACTCAGACCTGCCCCTCCCCTTGCTGAAGCAAGAGTAACTCCAGCTAGCTACCGCTAGCTTTCGTGACAAAAGAGAAAAATCAAACGTTTCACCGCGTGCAAATTCACAATTTGCAATGCAGCAGTGGGAAAAATGCGATATTGACAAGGAGCGGGCTTTCAAATATGTCGTACAATGTCTTATCTACGTGGGTTTTTATCTCGCGTTAATTTTTGCAAAACATGCGTTTCACTTGAAAAAGCACAAACCGCTTTTTACGTTATAGATTCCTGTTTGAAAAAATGCGCGTTTACGATTACGGTGTTTGCCCCGGTTCGTTTTGGAAGGGAAGATGCAGCATCCATTTTGTTGTAAGTTGCGAATCAAGGGGAAGAGAGCGGAAGGGCAGCGAAGGAAGGGGAAGAGGGGGGAAGAGCGGGGAAGAGGGTGGAAGAGGGAAGAGGGCAAGTCTTTGTCACGTGAGTGATGAACTCCGCCCAAAGCAACAAAGGGTCCAAGTCTTTGTCATGGAAAAACCGCATCGCACCAGCAAACGCATTGTACAAACAACTGCCCTCACCAGCAACAGTTTCAACCACCGGGCCCTCAGGCACATTGCACACGTTGACTGCAACCTTCTTTGCCGCTGGAAGGGGATGGCCATTGGCATCTTTCCCAGCAGTTCCTCCTTGGGGGAGGCTCGAACCTCACTATCTCAGCAACCTGATTCTGACGGAGGTTCCAGGAGGCAACCGGATGAACTTGCTTGAACTGCGCTTGCACTCGCCGAGGTGGGGCCCACCGAGCCCAAAACATGACCTTGTCCTCATCAACCTCCGCAGGCAAAGCAACCACATCTGAATCTTCCTTGGCAGCAGCACGGAAGAAAAAATCACTATCTCCACGCCGACGCCGTTGACTCAACATGTGGACATCAGCGAAATGATTCCGCAGCAAACCTTGGACTGTATCAGCGTCCCAATCATGAGGCAGAGACTCAACAATCCATACGCCTGGCAATGGATTGTCCGATTTGCCACTCACCCTGTACCCCACCTGAAATCGTCCAACCACCACGCCCATTGCAGAACCCAAACGCCTGGCCCGGGACAGATATTCCTCATCCGATTCCGTGTCAATCTTCTCAACCCAGCAAATATGATGCGCCTCCATAGGATTGTGCCGTGTAGCTTCCACAAACAACCCATCACCTGAGAAAGCTAGTCTTGCTGCCCTTCACGACCCGAATCAGACGAAAAAGCTAGCGCTGCAGGAAATCAGCTCTATTCTGTTTTTGAGCTGCAAATCCGTGAAGTATCCCTCTTCAATCGCTTGGGATTGAGCTTCTTGGCCCGCGCAGCCGCCGCAGGAAAGAGGCAACCTTTGCTCTTGCGAAATCGGGTCATGTTCCGGGAGAACTTCTCACAATTCTTGCGCACCATGCCATTGCGACCACGCTTGCGGCTTGCGAATGAAGGGCCGCAAGAAGGTGTCAACCTTGGAATGTGCACCAAAAGAACGAATCTTGTGCTTTGCAAGACTTCAAGCCTCTAGCACGGGCAACTTCAGGAGGATGACTCGGCCTTTGCTTGGCTTGAAAAAGCTGAAGAAAAGCAGCCCGCTCTTCCTTGTGGCAAGTCCAACCGTGCCTGATTTTCAACTTGGTACCAAAAGCGCAATGCAGTCGGCCCAAATCCTTGCCAAGCAGGCCCGCTAGGCAACCCCGGACTCGGCACCTCCAAGCAACCACACTGGGGTTATCCGCCTGGATCACAGGGTGATGACACCATCTGCGAAGCATGGGATGACACTGCTATAGAAGTCGAGAACCATGAGTCCGTACCGTGCGGGCTGTGACAGTGACAGCTCCTCGATCTGAAGCCGCAAGCAAGCCACTCACCGAATGAACATTCTGCTTGCCACTCCAATTTCCTCGTCTTTTACGCACAGCTTTTTACAGCTCTTGTTTTCAATAGTTTTGGTGTCTGTCCAGAAAGGAGTTGTTTGCGTGGCGCAGGTATTTCTGTTTCCGCGAGAGAGAGGGTGTGTTGTGTTTAGGTTGTGCATGCACTGTGCTGCATGACACGACTAAGAATTAGATTGTCTCCCAAATATTTACAAATTCAGATATGTTCGGGAAGAACCTATCCATATTCACTTCTACGACAGTATAACAGACAATCTGCTCAGGAAACCTGACCTGAAGCTCCACAAAGTGAATTCGTCTCGGTAGTTTGTAAATTCTTTTCAGTCAGTGGTACAAAATTAAGCCGAAAGGGGGCACATGGGGGGCACTGACCAGTAGTTCTGCCATGTCAGGGGAATGCAATCCATCCGACACAATGATTTGCGAACCGTGCCTTGCCATCTCCAAAGTCGTAGACCCACTTTGCCATGGCCAAAGCACAATCTGAATCCTACTCTCTATCTGACTCCTGCTCAACTGAACCTCAAATGCGGCTTCAACTACCCCATGATAAGGAAACTTGACTATCGGCAGTTCAACCCAGCAAGCCAGTTAGACAACAACTGATAGCTCAACATGAGGTTCCCGGACAGTGCCGAAGATCGCCAGTTTCTCATAGTCCTGGCCAAAAGCCAACATCTGACACTGGGAAAAATGTCAATATCTACACCCTGGGAAATTATAGTTCAAAGCCTAACAGAACATCCACAAGGATCCACAAGGCATATCCAATGGTTCCCAATTTGATTGCAGTTCCATGCTTCATTTCTGGTCTGCTTCTGGTGGCTGTGAGCAAGATTCTAACATATTCAGTTCCATCTCCTTGCCACGTCCACGCGAACCATCGACTTCGCAGAAGAACATCAGAGTATTCCTCGGTCTTCAGAGGAGGAATTTCCCAGCCATGTTTTGGTGTCTGAAAATAAGGTCTACACCCCTTGAATTTTTGAGCAAGGAAAATGATGATTCGTCAATGGTTTCGGAATCCCCGTTTTCCAGACAAACCCATACATGCCATATTTATCGAATTTTGTAGTGTCAATTTGGAGGTTTCCTAAAATAGGGGTATCTCGGGTATCCCCAAATCCATTTTAATGGAATGTTCCATTGTAAACCATCCATTTTGGGGGTACCCATATTTATGGAAACCACCATTTCATTTGCAAGAAAAGTTGGAAGAAGTGACCCTGTATTACCATAACTTCAACATGCGTCAAGTACAGGGGCACGTAATGACATGAATGTTACAACAAGGCATGCGAAAAATCCTCTACTCAGATTGGGACCACTCTTCCTCAATGGTTCGCAAGAAGTTGCCAGCCCTTACAATGTTTTTGAGCCATGGGACTTTAAAAGTCTCCGAATTTCACAGATTTACATCGAAAATTGTGCAATCAGGGTGGCCTGCCAGTAACAAAGCCCACAGCTTCTTGTGGAACTGAAATCCTCAGTCACCAAGCACTTTCCCAAAGGGTTCCTGCATTGGTTCCTGGCAATCTGAGCATCGAGCATGGTCAAATCGTCGTCGTCATCATCCTGCCAGCACGGCGCACCCGTCCGGCTCAAGTTGGCTTATCACCCAGTCTGATTTCATATATTTATAATTATAATATATGAGGATTTTTTGTACGTCCTACAATCAACTTTCAGCATCACTTTCAGCATCACCACTCCCACGCCACGCCCCAGCCTGCGTCACACTCACAGGTCCCGTGCGCTGATCCATGACGCCCTTGCAATACTTCTTGGCGCGGCGCCGAACCATCCTGGGCCGCCGCGTTCGGCGCGTTCGGCGGTACTGGCGGCATCGTGTTGTGTCGCGCCGAGGCTTGGACTTGGATCCACGGATCTCCAAAATCAAGTCCCGCTCGAAGAGTTCGATCTCAGCACCTCAGCTGCTGGTCTCAGCTGGTCTTGGCGGAAGCATTCAGGATGTTTCTGGACCTTGAAAAGATTTGCTGCGGCATTGGTTCATTGCACCATGAACGATGACCCTTTGCCGTTTGGAATCTCATAGTTCCCAATTTCACAGGCATCCAAAGTTCAACAGCACCCAGGCAGCCAATCCACCCCTTTCAAACTTGAAGACCTGCCAAGAATTTAAAAAACCTCTGTGGTCCCTTTTGAAACTCAACTGCATCAATATCATCGCGATACAAGAATTTCACATAACCACCACCGAAACTGCATGATCGAAAAATAATCACCTGAGAAGGGGGGGACGAAAGCCAGCCCCCAAAGCAATGCTCATGGTTTTTTTTGTCTCTGCGCTGAAGTATCTCGAAGTAAAGGCGGTTGCTAGCACAAACATCTTGACACAGAAATGCTTTTACACACAGACCTGTTTACATACAGACACTTTTAAAAACGCAAACCTTTTTACACACGGACCCGTTTACGCATACACAGCATGTTGCACACAGACCCTTTTACACACAGACGCTTTTACACAGAAACATCTTGACACAGAGCCGCATCTGAAATCAAATGGAAACGGCCGTTTTGGGCCAAAGCCTAGCAAGAACCCTTTTGGCACCAGATTTTAGACTTTCGCGCCTTGCGGGCCGGCAATTGGATTTCCCTTCTGGGATCAAGGGGAAACGCTCGTTTTTAGCCACATCCTAGCCAGGAGCCTTTTGGAGCCAGCTTGTGGGACTTTCGCGGCTTGCGGGCCGGCAACTAAAAGGGCCTTCTGGGATCAAGGGGAAACGGCCGTTTTTAGCCAAATCCTGGCCGAAGCCTTTTGGACACAGCTTTTAAGACTTTCGCGGCTTGCGGGCCGGCAACTAAAAGTGCCTTCTGACACAGAAACTAACACACAGAGGCTTTTACATACAGACCCTTTTACACACAAACATCTTTACACCGAAAGGCTTTATACACAGTCGTAGTAGTAGCACACAGACTTTTTGACACACAAACATCTTGACACAGAAATGCTTTTACACACAGACCTTTTTACACACAGACACTTTTAAAAACACAAACCTTTTTACACACGGACCCGTTTACGCATACACAGAATGTTGCACACAGACCCTTTTACACACAGACGCTTTTACACAGAAACAGCTTGACACAGAGCCGCATCTGAAATCAAAGGAAACGGCCGTTTTGGGCCAAAGCCTAGCAAGAACCCTTTTGGAACCAGATTTTAGACTTTCGCGCCTTGGGGGCCGGCAATTGGATTTCCCTTCTGGGATCAAGGGGAAACGCTCGTTTCTAGCCACATCCTAGCCAGGAGCCTTTTGGAGCCAGCTTGTGGGACTTTCGCGGCTTGCGGGCCGGCAACTAAAAGGGCCTTCTGGGATCAAGGGGAAACGGCCATTTTTAGCCAAATCCTGGCCGAAGCCTTTTGGAGCCAGCTTTTAAGACTTTCGCGGCTTGCGGGCCGGCAACGAAAAGTGCCTTCTGGGCTCAAGGGGAAACGGCCGTTTTAGGCCAAATCCTGGCCAGGAGCCTTTTGGAGCCAGATCCAGAGCAGAAACCTGTTGGAAGCAATTTTCTGCCATTTGGCGGCCATTCGGCCGGCTATTGCATTTCGCTTTTGGGAAGAACGGGAAACGGCTACATATACAATTTTAGAACGAACAGCAAGCAAACAGAAGCTATGAACCAGCATTGTGAAGCTAAAAACACATAGACCCTTTTACACACAGACCCTTGCAGACTACACACAAACGTTTTTACACACACAAACGCTTTTACACACAGACACTTTTTTTACTTCGACACACAGATGCTTTTACACACAGACCCCTTTACAATAGCTTTACACAGAAACACGTTGACACAGAGACGCTTTTACAGACAAACAGCTTCACACAGACACGCTTTTACACACAGACGCTTTTACACACAGACCCGTGTACGCAGGGACAGCTTTACACACAGACGCTTTTACACATAGACCCTTTGACACACAGACCCTTGCACACACAGACGCCGTGAGACATAGACGCTTTTTTCGCACAGACACTTTTTGACACACAAACATCTTGACACAGAAATGCTTTTACACAGAGACCTTTTTACACACAGACACTTTTACACAGAAACCTTTTTACACACCGACCCTTTTACGCATACACAAAATGTTGCACACAGACCCTTTTACACACAGGCGCTTTTACACACAAACACTTTTACACACATACGCTTTTACACACAGAGGCTTTTACATACAGACCTTTTTACACACAAACATCTTTACACCGAAAGGCTTTTACACAGAGTCGTACTAGCACACAGACTGTTGGACACACAAACATCTTGACACAGAAATGCTTTTACACGCAGACCTTTTTACACACAGACACTTTTAAACACGAACCTTTTTACACACGGACCCTTGTACGCATACACAGAATGTTGCAAACAGACCCTTTTACACACAGACGCTTTTACACACAAACACTTTTACATACATACGCTTTGACACACAGAGGCTTTTACACACAGAAGCTTTTACACAGCGACCCTTTTACACACAGAAGCTTTGACACACAGACCCTTGTACACACAGATATATCTACAGAGAAACGCTTTTACACAGAGACGCTTTTACATAGAAACATCTTCACACAGAGACGTTGCGGCATGATTTTTTTAACCTTCATTTGTAAAGCCGAAAAATGGTCAAATAGTTGGTGTTTTCGTGTCCTTTTGAACAGTCTCGGAGCAAAAAACTCCGAAAAAAAAAACGTGTTTTTTGACGCCTCGCAAGCCCGGGGCCTTTTGGAGCCAGCTTGTGGGACTTTCGCGGCTTGCGGGCCGGCAACTAAAAGGGCCTTCTGGGATCAAGGGGAAACGGCCGTTTTTAGCCAAATCCTGGCCGAAGCCGAAGCCTTTTGGAGCCAGCTTTTAAGACTTTCGCGGCTTGCGGGCCGGCAACGAAAAGTGCCTTCTGGGCTCAAGAGGAAACGGCCGTTTTAGGCCAAATCCTGGCCAGGAGCCTTTTGGAGCCAGATCCAGAGCAGAAACCTGTTGGAAGCAATTTTCTGCCATTTGGCGGCCATTCGGCCGGCTATTGCATTTCGCTTTTGGGAAGAACGGGAAACGGCTACATATACAATTTTAGAACTAACAGCAAGCAAACGGAAGCTATGACCCAGCATTGTGAAGCTAAAAACACATAGACCCTTTTACACACAGACCCTTGCAGACTACACACAAACGTTTTTACACACACAAACGCTTTTACACACAGACACTTTTCTACTTCGACACACAGATGCTTTTACACACAGACCCCTTTACAATAGCTTTACACAGAAACACATTGACACAGAGACGCTTTTACAGACAAACAGCTTCACACAGACACACAGACGCTTTTACACACAGACCCGTGTACGCAGGGACAGCTTTACACACAGACGCTTTTACACATAGACCCTTTGACACACAGACCCTTGCACACACAGACGCCGTGAGACATAGACGCTTTTTTCGCACAGACACTTTTTGACACACAAACATCTTGACACAGAAATGCTTTTACACAGAGACCTTTTTACACACAGACACTTTTAAACAGAAACCTTTTTACACACCGACCCTTTTACACATACACACAATGTTGCACACAGACCCTTTTACACACAGGCGCTTTTACACACAAACACTTTTACACACATACGCTTTTACACACAGAGGCTTTTACATACAGACCTTTTTACACACAAACATCCTTACACCGAAAGGCTTTTACACAGAGTCGTAGTAGCACACAGACTGTTGGACACACAAACATCTTGACACAGAAATGCTTTTACACGCAGACCTTTTTACACACAGACACTTTTAAACACGAACCTTTTTACACACGGACCCTTTTACGCATACACAGAATGTTGCAAACAGACCCTTTTACACACAGACGCTTTTACACACAAACACTTTTACATACATACGCTTTGACACACAGAGGCTTTTACACACAGAAGCTTTTACACAGCGACCCTTTTACACACAGAAGCTTTGACACACAGACCCTTGTACACACAGATATATCTACAGAGAAACGCTTTTACACAGAGACGCTTTTACATAGAAACATCTTCACACAGAGACGTTGCGGCATGTTTTTTTTACCTTCATTTGTAAAGCCGAAAAATGGTCAAATAGTTGGTGTTTTCGTGTTTTTTGAACAGTCTCGGAGCAAAAAACTCCGAAAAAAAAAACGTGTTTTTTGACGCCTCGCAAGCCCGGGGCCTTTTGGAGCCAGCTTGTGGGACTTTCGCGGCTTGCGGGCCGGCAACTAAAAGGGCCTTCTGGGATCAAGGGGAAACGGCCGTTTTTAGCCAAATCCTGGCCGAAGCCTTTTGGAGCCAGCTTTTAAGACTTTCGCGGCTTGCGGGCCGGCAACGAAAAGTGCCTTCTGGGCTCAAGGGGAAACGGCCGTTTTAGGCCAAATCCTGGCCAGGAGCCTTTTGGAGCCAGATCCAGAGCAGAAACCTGTTGGAAGCAATTTTCTGCCATTTGGCGGCCATTCGGCCGGCTATTGCATTTCGCTTTTGGGAAGAACGGGAAACGGCTACATATACAATTTTAGAACGAACAGCAAGCAAACGGAAGCTATGACCCAGCATTGTGAAGCTAAAAACACATAGACCCTTTTACACACAGACCCTTGCAGACTACACACAAACGTTTTTACACACACAAACGCTTTTACACACAGACACTTTTTTACTTCGACACACAGATGCTTTTACACACAGACCCTTTTACAAGAGCTTTACACAGAAACACGTTGACACAGAGACGCTTTTACAGACAAACAGCTTCACACAGACACGCTTTTACACACAGACGCTTTTACACACAGACCCGTGTACGCAGGGACAGCTTTACACACAGACGCTTTTACACATAGACCCTTTGACACACAGACCCTTGCACACACAGACGCCGTGAGACATAGACGCTTTTTTCGCACAGACACTTTTTGACACACAAACATCTTGACACAGAAATGCTTTTACACAGAGACCTTTTTACACACAGACACTTTTAAACAGAAACCTTTTTACACACCGACCCTTTTACGCATACACAGAATGTTGCACACAGACCCTTTTACACACAGACGCTTTTACACACAAACACTTTTACACACATACGCTTTTACACACAGAGGCTTTTACATACAGACCTTTTTACACACAAACATCTTTACACCGAAAGGCTTTTACACAGAGTCGTAGTAGCACACAGACTGTTGGACACACAAACATCTTGACACAGAAATGCTTTTACACGCAGACCTTTTTACACACAGACACTCTTAAACACGAACCTTTTTACACACGGACCCTTTTACGCATACACAGAATGTTGCAAACAGACCCTTTTACACACAGACGCTTTTACACACAAACACTTTTACATACATACGCTTTGACACACAGAGGCTTTTACACACAGAAGCTTTTACACAGAGACCCTTTTACACACAGAAGCTTGTACACACAGAGCCTTGTACACACAGATATATCTACAGAGAAACGCTTTTACACAGAGACGCTTTTACATAGAAACATCTTCACACAGAGACGTTGCGGCATGTTTTTTTTACCTTCATTTGTAAAGCCGAAAAATGGTCAAATAGTTGGTGTTTTCGTGTTTTTTGAACAGTCTCGGAGCAAAAAACTCCTAAAAAAAAAACGTGTTTTTTGACGCCTCGCAAGCCCAGAACCACGGTAGTTGCGGTGTTTTTTTGCTCCTGGAACCAAAAACCACGGTGTTTACAGTGTTTTATGGCCAGCACCTAGCAAAAACAGTGGTATTTACGCAGTTTTCAGCATGTTGCAAGACGTACTTTTGCCAGGCCAAACGCACAAAAACACCGTAAATTACAGTGTTTCGGCATTTGAAACCCGATGAAAACCGTCAAGAACCACCAACAAGGTAAAGCCGAAAAATTGTCAAATAGGTGGTGTTTTCGTGTTTTTTGAACATTCTCGGAGCAAAAAACTCCGTAAAAACGGTGTTTTTTTGACGCCTCGCAAGCCCAAAACCACGGTGTTTGCAGTGTTTTATGGCCAGCACCTAGCAAAAACAGTGGTATTTACGCAGTTTTCAGCATGTTGCAAGACGTACTTTTGCCAGGCCAAACGCACAAAAACACCGTAAATTACAGTGTTTCGGCATTTGAAACCCGATGAAAACCGTCAAGAACCACCAACAAGGTAAAGCCGAAAAATGGTCAAATAGGTGGTGTTTTCGTGTTTTTTGAACATTCTCGGAGCAAAAAACTCCGTAAAAACCGTGTTTTTTTGACGCCTCGCAAGCCCAAAACCACGGTATTTGCGGTGTTTTTTGCTCCTGGAACCAAAAACCACGGTATTTACAGTGTTTTATGGCCAGAACCTAGCAAAAACAGTGGTATTTACGCAGTTTTCAGCATGTTGCAAGACGTACTTTTGCCAGGCCAAACGCACAAAAACACCGTAAATTACAGTGTTTCGGCGTTTGAAACCCGATGAAAACCGTCGAAAACCACCAACAAGTGTCCAAAATGGAGCATCTCGTTCGGGCCCAAAAAACCAGGCAAACGGCAGGTCGGTTTTTGAGCTCTCCCCAGCCAGGCTCCGGCCTCACCTTTCAAAAACGGACCGATTTCGGGCCTCCCCCCCCCCACACCCCCTAGATTAGCTTCGCTTCGCTTCGCTTATACCTATACTCAAGCCCAGGCCGTCGGCTGGCTTTCGTGATTATACAATTCTAGTTTATAAACATCCATCATCATAAACCCCTAAGCTCAGAATAAATCTCTAACATCCCACTTGGAATCCCACCTTTCCATCCCTTCCCATGGGCCCCACCTGACACCTTGGAGATCTTCTCCTTGGTTCTTCCACCTTTGCCCAGGATGAAGGCTGCATCGTCGTCGGTGATTTTCATGGTATCCACCCCATAGTCCTGGTCAAAAAGGGCGGATGATTGATGATGGTTGTTGATAAATAATGATTAATGATCCATCAATTTCCATCATCAATTTTTAGGGATAATAAATGATCATACATGGTTAATCTGATTGATAAATAATCATATTAATCAGATTGATCATTAATGATATTAATGATGGTTAATAGTATAGTTAACAGTTATATTAATATCCACAAATAATAATGATTAATGATCCATCATCAATTTTTATGGATAATAGTCATCCATAAATAATGATTAAAGTTTAAAGTGGATCCTGTTGAAAACACCCAGAGATTTGGCGATGCACAAATCATGACAAAGCTTTCTGTTTCTGACAAACCCGAAACCCATCTGTTCCATGTGTTTCCGACTTTTTTTTTGTGGTTTGGATGCCACTTCAACAAGACCAAGTCCTGAGAAACACTGGGCTGAGGTGAGTTGGGGATGGTTTGGTGACTTTGGTGCGACTCCTGATCTGTACATTTCTGGCTCTAGACAAACCTTACGAAACAAATCCATGTCACAAAGGTCCATTGCTTCCCAGCTCACGCAAAATTCAAGCTTCAGAACTTCACCAAGATACCAAGCCCAACCATGCCCAACCGCTCCACTCCACCTCTGATCTATTCTTCTTGGGACTTGGACTGCGGCTGTCCTGTGTGATGGAACATGGTAACATGGTCCAGGGTGGTCCAGGCACAACGGCTTTTTCAACATCCGGACATCATCTTTTGGTGAGAAAAAATGTCAAATGCCCCAAAAAAATGATAGAAGCTGCATGAAGTCACTGACAAAACCACCAGAAACTTTCTGCAGACAGCTTCACTGCCGTCCTTGCGACCCCCATCACGGCTGCGGCTGCGCTCCCTTAGCAAAGGCGATTGGTCATTTCGACCAGAAATACGCTGGGAGTGAGCTGTTAGGGTCTTGACCCAAACTGCATTGTTTAGACCTGGCACTGACCTATGGGTAACCTACCTATCTCCAAACACCACCAGTTGCGCCTGAGAGAACAGGAGCTGACACAGAACGAAGTCAGAAGATGACAGAGTGCTCAGTGATGTCCATGAAGTTCGGTATGTGGGGAAGTTCAAGTGCTCAATGGGCAGCCTGTGAAAGGTTTGGGTCCCTTGGGATCCCACAGAAAAATCTATTGGCGATTCACAGTCACGGTGAAACGAAAATCAGAAATCTTAATCTCTGAACTCCTCTGGACCTGTGTCCAAAATCTGTTCACCTGCGACTATGATGCCTGCCCCCCAAGCAACAGCACCGGTTGTCCATTTGGAACGGTCCTGCTTGAACTTCGCTGTTCTCGTTAAACTGGGGGTCTCGAAGACGGGGTGTCGAAAACATTCTAGTCGAGACAGGCGATGTACTGATTGTCATGAAAAGACCTGCGCGGAATCCACTCACCGGTGCTTCCGGTTGAACTGACTTACCATGGCTTACCGTAACCGCTAATTCCCAAAAGGTTCACTTCTTTTTGTCTGTTGTCTTTCTCCTGTCGGGTCAAAAGCATCAACACTGAGCTTACATTGCACTCCGAGGGTGAACCCTCGCAGCGCATAGGAGCCCAATGCGAATGCAAGAAACCAGAACATGTGGCCCAGAACATGAAGCTGGATCGTGTGTCGGTCAGATTTGGGAATTGATGCCATCCCAATTCCAACTATCATCCTACGCAGTAGAGAGAATATCCCGCAACAGAGTTTTTCCATGATTTTCCAATTGAGGATGGTACAACTTGTATAATGGAACATAATGGAACATGAATGAACATGAATGAACATGATATTTCGATCTACTCCAGGATATCTATTCATATCTGTGGCCTGTTCATCTCTGTGGCCGGCACTTGTCGCGACTGCGGCTGCGATCCTCCCCCATGCCTCCAGCACTGCGGAATTCTGAATGGAACGCGTGTGTTTTAGCACTGATTGACATAAGGGACACCTCCATCCGGGAGCACAGCTCCGAATTTGAACCACTGCGAATTCTTATGTTCGTTTGGTATTGACGTCGTCTGGGTGAATCCAAAATTTGGAGACGCACACAGAAACCCATTCACAAATCTATCATGCATCAGCGACGGCCCATGCGACCATATGATTTTGCTGCCTCTCAGGGGCAACACAATCCACAGGATCTTCAAATAGAATGTGCTATGCCGTGATGCACAATAGAACCAATGGCACAGAAGTCGTCTGAAAAGTTTGGGTCGGTGAGATTGGTCATGCAATTTGTCTGGGTTTTTCTCTGGGTTTTTCTCTGGGTTTTTCTCTGGCTTTGAGCCTGACAAGCGCTGGATAAAGGCATGCAACGTCATGCAACTGCACCACGCTCACAATATGAATCACGGCTGCGCGGCGCCAAGCACCAGTCTCGTTTGGATGTTTCTCATTACACCCCATGGGCCCCAGATGTGTCCCTCGCCCTTTTCTTATACCATCCTTTACGGATCAACTTCTCTCGTCCAAAAGCAACAAACACAGTGACGTTAAATAGGCCTCAAAGATCGTCAAGGCTTGAACTCGTCAGCTTTGCCGTGGTCGTTTCTTTCGACCCAGCAATATCAGCTTTCTGGTGAGGGCGGGTTTCTCCGCAATCAGCGTGTCCAACAGATCTTCGTGCTGTGCCAAGATGCTGCAGTCGGACTTCAACATCTTCCAGCAGGATTTCTCCACAACACCTGGGCAGCTGCACCATGAAACGCCCGTACATCAAGGGATGAAGCCTTTTACAATAGGATGTTTGCACGGTGTTTCCTGCAGCTTGTTTGGGGGATTGGGTAGAATCTTACCCAAGTGATCTCATTGCGTCAAAAGGCCCGAGATCAAAAACGACCGGACTTGTCAAGGGAAAAGTAAACTCAGCCCAGAAGCTGTCGGTGTCGTGCATCTCCGCAAGAATTTGCAGCACATTGTCTGCGTTCAGCATGTCTTTCATGGCAGCATCCACCTTTTCCACCAAGGATTTCAAGCAGAAGCGATCTGCCAACTTCCGCACTTCCAGATTGAATTCCACAGATCCAACTTGAAAAGAATCTGTCAAGATGAAATGGAGGATGGCTTTCATGATCTCGTTGGTCACGTGAGGATCCCCAGTAAAATCCACTTCTCCATTTCTCGACTCTTGCCATTCGTCTGATGTCAACATTTTTTGAAAATATTCGCTGCGCGCCATCAGAAGGCGCTGGTCGAAGAAGAGCGAAGGGCCTTCAGCCAAACGGAAGCTGAGCATCTTTGCTTCGGTGGAGAAATCCAGCCCAGGGAAGAGGGGCTCTGAGGTCTCTGTTGGTGGCTGGACATAAGGAAGATTCCAAACCTGCGCTTTGACTCTCAATTCACCATCCGAAGTGACGAAGTCTTGAAGCCGTCTCCCCGACAATATGTCGTTCCATCCGATTGAGATCTGTGTCTGGTCGAACGACGTCGTCGTAGACACACAAGCGGAATCGTTGTTCCTCTCAACCCAAATCCAGAATCTTACATCCGCGCAGCTCCAGCTATCCTTCAGGTGCTTTGGTGGCAGGATGTGGATGAACCCAGCAACATGCCGAGAATCCGACACTTCGGAACTCATGCCCGAAGGGTAGACCCTCAAGATGATCTGGAAGGAGCCCGTCGGACCAACCACTGGAGACGACACAGCTACACCTCAGCTCTAGTGGTAATAGCAAAACCATCAGCAAAAGAGACTCTCTAATACGGTTGCAATGTAAATCCATATAGATCCGGCAGAAACTCCTACACGTGGTATTAAGACAGATCTGCTTCATCTGATGACATACTACAACCACGATTAGTCCAGGAGACCAGTGTCATGTCAGCATTGTCATCCGCCTGGCACCCACAATACTTACGACAGCCGCAACATTACTTGTCGGGAATTGTGCGAATCTGGGGTAATCTCTAAATTCCTTTACCCGGATTCGGACGAAAAACGCTTTCACTGCGTATTTACAGGACTCCGCCTTGTAAGTTCAAGTGCCCCAACAAACCTGAAATTAAAAAATGAAACATGTGAATCATTGATTTCGATCAAAACATTGCACACGTGGCTAGCGCGAAGCTGTTTTATTCGGAGCTGCTGGATCTGCTGGAACTACCGGAATCGCTGCCTTGCCCTGCAGGATTCCGTTGGCACTGCATGCGTTTTCTTTGTTTTGCGCCTTTGGATGCCTTTGGCGCGTTTCACTGCCAGCTGCCTTTCCTATTTGGCCACTTTCTTTTCAGGTGGATCGCCCAGCTACCTACATTTGCCAACGCAGGAACTAGCAATGTTCTCAGTTTGCAGGTTCTATGAGCTGGTCAATGGGCAACTGTGTGTTTCTGCGGGTTTTCTCTGGCGCGGAAGTAGCGCGGATCTAGCGCCAGGACTACGTTTAGCTCACCTGCGAAACAACCAGTGATGGGCTTTCTCTTGGCACCGATAAACGCAAACACCGGACACCATAGATTGCTGGAGGCGCCCTACGCACTGGAGCGAGCGACATGTGTCAGGAGCCATGTTCACTCACTAGCAGGCTTGAGATGTACTTCAATGGCTACCAAAAACATTGCAATAAGATGTAGTAAGTATAAGTATGTTAAAATATCTAGCGCCACACTAACGCAAATCTAGCGCCAACTTGCAGGAAAGCGTTTTCACTGCGTATATACAGGACCCCGCCTTGTACTGCAATCTAAAATACATCACTGCCCAAATATTTACGGCCCTCGGATTCAAAAGTTCCTGAAAAGCTTCTTGGAGAATCTCCCAATCTCTGCATGCCGCAACTTGCATGGAATCGGAACAGACCGCGGCAAACACCAACAACCACAGCAATGTCTACCACTACAGCAGCACTTGTCAGGAGTCCCTAGAGGCACACTTGCAACTACCTTGCAACTTACCCTGCAGGTAGGCACGCAAAGGCAAATCTCATCACATGTAGAACCTGAATAAGTATGGCTATCTGCGAAGATCTGAAAACGCTCGTCCCACTCAATATTGGGGTTTAGTGGTGCTTCTCCAGCAATCTTTTAACCCTGCACTCGAACCCTCAACCCTCACCTTTGGAAAAGGAGAAAACATCGGGAATCTTCAGCTCCAAATTCTCAATCTTCACCCGGACCTGGCACGCTGATGTTGCTTCAGGCATGGCAACTTCAGCACTGCTGAGTGGCTGCGCCCATCCGAAGCGCTGTTTCTGTGCAAGACTATGCAGGCTCCGAGTTTCAGTCCCAAAACATCCGGAAACTCAGCCTCTTTTGGAATCTTGTGGTTTGATTGGAAACTGAAGACATGTCATGACTGCTTGCGGTTTAGCCAGAATCAAGCGATCTCAATGTTCAAAGCTTACCCAGGCGCTTGGGCTTCTTGGGCCAAAAGCCCAGCGAAGTGTGAAAAATTCAGCCCTGTGCCTCACTGGATTTCTGCTGGCTGTTGACTACATTATTTGAACTGTACTTGTGGAAACTGCGAGGCTTCACACCAGCAGCTAGGAGCATAGCAAACACAAAACCAGTCTTGTTCTGGGTTGCAATTTCATTGGCGTTATTAGGCCACGATGTTCAACAGTGCTACGTGAACCAGCAAGAAACTTGCAGCGTGGCAAAGGAGGCCAAACAGGAAGAGTTCAGCAGCAGAATTAAAGCTGATTTTTCTCAATTTGAATCTGCCCAAACTCCTTCACACGAGTTGCGCGCACTACAGTGTTGATGCGATCTGACTCATCTGACTGGTTGAATTCAAGCTTTGGAGATGCGCGTAGGTAAATCCACAACACATCAAGGACTGACTACACATCAAGGACTGACTATGCGACCATTTAATTGTGTGGCCCTTGGGGGGCAACATAGGGCACAGGCAGTTCAAATGAAATTTGTTATGATCTGTTGCAAATGCAAAGCAATGACGTAGAAGTGGTGTGATCGTTTCGATCAATGATATTTTGGCTCGGTGAGATTGGTAATATATTTTTCCATGTTTTTCTGTGAGCCTGTCAATCGCTGGATAAAGGCATGCAACTGCACCATGCTGAGTGTATGAGTCGCAGCCTGGCAGCCCAGTACCAGCGTCTACCAAGTTTCAAGAAACCCTGCGTCTCGATGTGCAACACGAAAGCCTCGCGTTTTTTCTTACCTACCCAAAGCAAAGTTAGTCTATCATGGATCAAGATGGTCTTGTCCCAGTCAGGATCCCCACGAGAAGCCATGAGCTATCAGCAACGATCCTACACCCCCTCATACTTGCCCAGATCCACGACTTATAAATCTACTGCACATGCAACTATATGGTTTTGCCAGTACAAGCCACAGGCTCTTCAAATGAAATTTTACTATGCCATGCTCTGTTGCACAAGAGAATCGATGGCACAGAAGCCGTCTGAGAGTGTGGGTCGGAGATAGTTGGTCTTTTGATCTAAATTCCGTTATCTGCAAACGGCCATTCTTCGCGAATAAAAATTCTCGTTCGCGAATCTTTCGCGGACTCCATGTTTATCTTTCGCGGAACCCATGTTGAGCAACAACTCCTCTTATGAAGATTCTTTCATCACCAGCCAAATCACAACAAATTATCACGGATAACTTCTTCATAGCCTTGTAAGCATGCAGCTAGCATCACGGAATCCCTTTCTCAGGACAGCTTGTTGCTGATTAGGCAATTTTTTGCAAGGCTTTCTGGGCCACTCCCTTCAAAATGCACTTTGACTTTCGCCCACTCCTTTGCAGAACTTTCACGGAACTTTTGCGAAAAAAAAACACCTATCCACAGACCCCAGCCATCAGCAAGGGGCGCATCAAAGGAAAAGCAAACGGACCTTGGTGTTTGCTCTGGCAAAGCCTCGCTTTTGGAAGCTTGGCTGCTGCATTTGGGCTTTGTTTCTTGAGACTTCAGAAATGGATACCAATGTCAACCCGAAATCAAATTTGTCAAAACTATTCACGGAACAATGCCATGATCATATCCGTGCAAGGAACTGCCTTGTACGATGCACCTATATATTGTACTTATGGTGAATACTTTCGCGGGGTCTGATGTTGGAACCCTGGAAGCCTTCGCAATTAAAAACCCTTACATGGACCTTTAGATCGACTCCCAGTTGGGGTCGGTGAGATCGGATGAGTCATGCATTTGTCTGTGTTTTCTCTGGCTCTGAGCCTGACAAACGCTGGAAAAAGACATGCCACTGACAGTATGAAGTGGCCTGGCAGGCTTCACAAAAACCACTGTTTTACTCAAAACAAAGCTGAACCTTGACGGATTACATGGTCTTGTCCCAAGTCAGGTAGTTTGGCGGCTAGATACGGGTTTCTCTTGGCTTGCCACGGAGGGCCACATAATGAATGTAGTATTGGCTCAATTCATTCTGTCCCGAAACTCCCTCGGAAAATCTCGCTACCCTCCCGAAAATGTCTGGCACAGCTGGCCTTTTCCAGCTATAGAGATTGTTTTCAAATGCAAGAAACACAGGTGAAACACGTTAGAAGGCTTGGGGTCTTCAGCTTCGTCGCCGTCGTTTCGTTCCCAGAAGGATCAGCTTTCTGGCCAAGGTCGGCTTCTCCGCGATCAGCGTGTCCAACAGATCTTCGTGTTTGGCCAAGATGTTGCAGTCCGACTCCAGCATCGTCCAACAGGATTTCTCCACCACACCTGGACGGCTTCAAACGCACCACTGCTTCAGGAACAACATGAGACATCCATACTACAGTAATACTACATGAAGAGACCTGGCCACAGCTTTAGTATGCTTCACTTGGTGTTTTCTGTAATCGGTTTGGGACATTGAGGAGAATCTGTCCCGGACTAGTTCAATGGTGTCTAAAGGTCCCAGCTTCTGAAAGCTGGAACAAATTCTCAGCCCAGGAGCTGTCGGTGTCATGCATCTCTGCAAGGATCTGCAACAGGTTGTCCTCGTTCAGCATGTCTTTCATCGCTGCATCCACCTTTTCCACCAAGGATTTCAAGCAGAAGCGATCTGCCAACTTCCGCACTTCCAGATTGAATTCCACAGATCCAACTTGAAAAGAATCGGACAGGATGAAATGGAGGATGGCTTGCATGATCTGCTTCGTCACGTGAGGATCCCCAGTAAAATCCACTTCTCCTTTTCTGGACTCTTGCCATTCGTCTGATGTCAACATTTTTTGAAAATATTCGCTGCGCGCCATCAGAAGGCGCTGGTCGAAGAAGAGCGAAGAGCCTTCAGCCAAACGGAAGCTGAGCATCCTTGCTTCGGTGGAGAAATCCAGGCCAGGGAAGAGCGGCTTTGGCGTCTCTGGAGGTGGGTGGACATAAGGAAGGTTGTGGATTATACCCATGATCTGCAAGGCACCATCTGGACTCACATAGTCTCGCAGACAGTCGCGCTTGAACATGTCGTGCCATCCTCTATCATCATGTTCTTTGCAGAAGGTGTTCTTGTCTTTGTACTCAATGTCGGGTGGTTTGATTCTCTTCAGACTTTTTATCCAGAGTGAATAGCGCACATCTGGACAAGTCCAGTTGTCTCTTAGGTGCTCTGGTGGCGAAATCTTCAAAAAAGCAGAGACCGGCTGGGCATTTCCCTCCGCAGTAGAAGCTATTTCCGTACCCGCAGGGAAGATCAGTAAGCAGTATTTGAACGAACCAGTTGGACCTTGTAGTGGCGAACTCACGCTTTGGCCTCGTCGTGGTCGTGGCCAAAATATTTTTTAGAGTATGTCACATGCCGCTGTGCATCGGTTACCAGCAGTGATGTTGCGCACAAACAACAGTGGATGATGCGTGCCAAGGCTTATACAAGGTAACTAGACAATGAGTCTCTTCAGACATTGTTGTTGATCTTTCCATCACAATTGCGGGTCTTCTTGAAAAGGAAAGGAGTGACAAACATGCTTGGAAGAGGGCCTTTCAAGAAAGTACTGAAGGGTCTCCATCACCATTAGGCCTTGAACTGAAAAACATGGCATGATAATTGATAATTGCATAGTTGATATATAATTGCTCTTCCTGCTTTCCGTCCTGGCCTTTGGAAAACGAAAAGATATTGGGAACTGTGAATGCCATATGCTGGGCAGGCAAGGTAGGCTTCATTAGGTCAAGCGACATTGCCATTGCTGTCGCTAAGTCCTGCTCCAAAGGTGTTGTTTCAGTGCTGGATTCTGTAGATGTCTGAGTCCCTAAATGTCTGGAAGATGTTGGAAGAGCTTTTCAAACAAATTGATTGGAAACTTTTCTGACCGTTTGTCGATAAACCAAAGATCAGCCATGTCCATGCTCAAAGCTTACAAAAGAGCATTGGTTTGAGAGCTTAGGTTTAAGAGCTATGCCAGGAGGACTGCGAATGCTACCACTGCATGCCTCACTGGACCAGCGTTCAAAGCCCTCTGCCATTCCATTGTACAGGACTTTGACAATACATCGTAATCTACCCAATATATTGTGTAGTACAACCCCATACTGCTCACTCGAGTTCAATCTTCTTGCAACATCTTTCATCTTTCTTGCAGTTTTCTTGGCACACCTCAATGTTATATGCATCCGACACCACAGCAGGCCATCTTTTCGCTCAGGTCTGCAAGTCATTGGATTGGCGCCACCCGGTGCCGCATGGACAGCAAACCTCCGAAGTTTTGGGCGTGGCCAAAGAGAAAGAGTTCCACAGCTGAAACAAAGGAAAATGGAGGCTTCAATTTGGATGCAATTGAAAAATCACGAAAAGAACAGGTTTTTTTCCATTCAACATGATTCAACATGGCAAACACATACAAAAACCAATCTGAAGTTTCTGTCTGCACGTCTCCCAAATCGCCATAGCTGGACAGTGCCAAAGCGGCCAGGCGCCTCAAAGATAGGGGTCCACCACAGGTCCCTGCAAAGAGATGCCACACCAGGTGATTTCCAAAGGCCAAAGAACAGGTCATAAGCTGCACAGTTCATATTATAATATATATATATATATTTATTTATTTATTTATATATAATATTATATATATATTATAATTATTATTATATATATAGTTATATATATATATTGTGATTGACAATTAGTCAGATCACCTGGTAGCACCTCCAAAGCAAAAACCCCTGCTGCGGCCAAACTGTTTTGTCAGACCTCGCAAAAAAGATCACAGCGGCAAAAGCCTTAGGATTAAGGCACCAAGAATCGCTTGGCCAACTAGGCCTTCCAGTTCTGAATGAGCCCCAGGCTCTAAGTTCCAAAATGGCGACCACGCCAATAAACCAGTAAGCAAAAATGGCAAGCACGATTCCCTATCCCTATGCCCTCTCCTAAGGCTGACCCTGAGCCAATGTGCTCCAAGTGGTAAGACATTTGTTGTTGATTATTCCTGGCATCGTGAGCTGGAAGGAAATGGCACTGTGGGGGGTTGCAATGATGTAGATTCACACTCCCAAAAAATCATAGTTTAATGAAAGAAAACATTCATCATTGCAACCTTCGGCATCATGTTCCTTGCAAGAACTGCGAAGCCATTTGAGTCGTGTTCTGGTTGATGCACGGCTCTTCAAAACTTCCAGTTCGTCATGAAGCTTGTACATCCCGATCTTGAGAGTTTCTCTCAAGAAACCACTGTCCATTATTTTGGTAAGGCTATCAGCAAGTTGAGCCCCAGAGTGCACCCATCTAAGTTGCACTCCTTCTTGGAGCATATCCTTAATGGACCGGGCATTGAGCATGGTGCGATATTCTGCGCAATTGGGAACAGCTGTCCTTGTGACCAAATCATAGAGACTTTTACAGTCAGTGGCGGCTAGACTATCTGGAAGCCTCTGGGATTTATAGGTGGCTGTAGAAAAGGATTCAGGGAGCTGACCTAGGGCATGGTTTGGGTGTTTCCATTCAACCTTTGGGTCTAGCATCCAACCCCAACACAACCGCAACCAGGACAAATGATCAAGTACAGAATTTAACGAAACTGTTTCAGCGGCCAGGGTGCTTGTTACTACACGCTGAATTTTCTTGCAGCCCCATGCCAAGGGACTTACTGGGCAAGAAACATTTTCTGAAATCAGTTTATGAGTGCCCATGATCATGCTACCCGTGTGGGAACTGGGATTGCTCTTTGAAGCAAAGGAGGCGTCGGAAAAAGCCAAAAATCGAAAGTCATCAACAGGGATTGGTTGAATGATAATGGTGGTACTGCTGTGCTTCTTGGCTTCGTGTAAAGTTTGATTGGCAAGTATAAGTGCATTTACTGTTGCGCTGTTAATTGCGGATTGTAATTGGCTCAATCGACTGGCAAGATCTGGCCGAGTGTGGACAGCGGCATACTGGAGACTGCCGATGATGGCACGCAGGCTTTGTCTCTCTGTCTCCGTCACTTTTTCCTCTCCTTGGTTCCTTCGGTCAGTGGAAATTTTGATTGGTTCAATGGCATTGACGTATTTGCTTTGTTTCTTTGTGATCGTTCCATCGGGTTGTTGGTTCATTTCGATTCCTGTGAATGTGAATTGTTGGGCCTTTTTGGAACCAAAAGGATACTTCTTTTCTAGTTGATTGATTTTGTCAGAGAAATATGAGGACCCTCCGCATATGCCGTCATCGACGTGGAGTCCAAGGATGCCCTCTAGTTTTCCCGTTTGGTGGTGTCTGAGAACGTATTGACATGGGTCAAACGGACTTTGTGTAAACCCTAGTTTCAACAGTTTTTCATTAATGGCTTGGTACCAGAGAAATGGTGCATCCACAAGACCATATGCTCCCTTTTCAAGCTTGCATACTTCTGTCGTGGAGAGCTGCAAAGCTTGGATGAGTTCCGGTACAGGCTCAATGGCTAATATTCGGTCTCCTTGGGTTTTACCTTGGAGAAAGGCTGCCTTGATATCGAAGGATCTGAGAGTCCAACCCATGGATGCAATCAGTTGCAGGGACAACATCTTTGCATTTCGTCCCAGAGTAGGTGAATCTCTGGGAAGATTCTCAAGTTGGGGATCTAAGTATCCTAATATTACAAGTCTGGCCTTTGCCTTGGACTTTTGGACTTGGGATTTATCAGGAATATCTTCGGGGTCTATTGGTTTCCATGTGAGAATCCAACGGCATCGGAGGATTTGATCATGAGGAATTTTATCCCGTAAGATTCTTGAAATGGTGCCGGTCCTAATCCAATTTTGAATCTCGGATTCCTTCGCCTTCTGGAACTGCTCTCTTTCCGATTGTGTCAGCGTGGACAATTTGACCTCAGAGCGTTGTCGTTTGGCTGCTGATGCGACAAAAGCCATGTGCTCACTGGGACCTTCTCGTTTCCAGCTCTGAATGTCGTTGTCGTTGACCACGACTTCACATCGCCATGCCATGTCTGATCCGTCGGTGATCAAGCCTGTGTCCCCGTCATCATCTAAACAGTGAATCCCTTCACATGTGAGACCATCTTCATCGTCAGGTATTGGGGTTTCAATACCAGGGATGTTTACATCATATGGGCTTGGATTGTGGGTTACTTGTTGATCATTCAACTGGGAATTATGGCTTTCTTCAGGATTGATCGTGGTGGTGGAAGGTGTAGTTTGATGGGATGGAATCTCAGGTTCCATGTCCGGTTGACCCTCTGAGGATTCCTCATTCTGACTTGATTGCGGACTGGACGTAGGTCCCTCCATCGGAATGCTGGTGATGGGATTTAAGGGAAAATTATCAATAGCTCTGGTGATACCTTGGGATTGGAAATTAGACAATTGTTGTGCAATGGTGGATACTGAAGGTTCATTGGTGGTTAATGGTATTTTCCGGGACTCATTGGCTGACACTGGACGAACATGTTCCGGGGAACATCGGTAGAGTTTACTGCATTGGGTGGTCCAGATGGTCTGAGGGTTCTCATGTACTACGATTTTCATGGGGCCCGCCCAAAATCCTGGTTGTGTGCCCTTCCCTGGTCGCCAACACATTACCCATTCACCGGGACTGTACTGCTGATCACCGGGCCGTGATCGGCGCAGCATGGCACGCCGGAGAGCTGCATCATTGTCAGCTTGGATGAAGGCATGTCGGGCACATTCACGGCGGTCAAGCTGCCGCTTAAACGCTAGACCCTGGGCAGTTTCTGACTCTGAGAGCATGTGTGCTGGCAGCAATTCATCACTGCAGACAGCACCTGGGAGACGAGTATGTTTGCCAAGTACATGGACTTCAGGGGCATACCCACGCTTCAAGCTCATTGCATTTTTGGATTGTGTACACCAGAAAAGTGCTTGGGCTAAGTCATGATATTGTTCTATGGGATGTTCAGCATCATATTTACTTAGCATGGTCTTGAGTATGGCTCCATGTCTTTCGGCTTTCCCATTCTGATACTGCGCTTCTGGGCTGATAGTGGTGACCCGAATGTTGTGTTTCTGGGCAAACGTACTGAACTCTTCGGAGTTATACTCCGTAGCAGCATCCACTAACATTTCCATAGGACACCCTGCCCAAGATAGCCACATGTCGATCAATGTCTGGATGGCGGTGGCGGATGATCTGTCAGGGGCTATTCGGGCAACTTGAAAACTTGTGGACCAGTCTACAACATGATACACATGAAACAACTTGCCGTTCTTGTTAGTCCACTGTAAACCATCGATGCACACTCGGTCGTTGAAATCTCCCTCATCACGCAGAGTGCTGGGCCGGGCTAGCTTTGGAACACTATGTTCCTGGCACACAGAACATTTGAGATCTAGTGCAGCACGGGCTACTTCGGCTCTGTACCCCTGTGATCGCAAGACAGCGCTAAGTTTTTCCGGGCTTGGATGCCCGAGGTTTTTGTGAGCTCTGATCAAGGAAATCTGTTCATCTCGGGGCAAAGCCTTGAATCTAGTGCCATGTGATTGGCTCCCGGAATCTGCTCTTTGGGAACTAGTGAGGTCTTCGGAACATGGTGTCTCCATTTGGTGTTGCGACATTTCAGGATTGGCTTCTTCGAGACAGTCCTGGCTGTCGGGTGCACTTGAATTGATGCGCCGGTTGTCTGGCACGGATGGCTCTGCATTGGATGTCTCGGGCTCATTCCTGGGGACATCACACACCTGCTCTTTGGTGTTCCCAAACATCGTCAGGTTGATTCGGGTGGCATGAGATGGACGAATCAGGTTGCGCTTTGCCAACATTTCCC